AGAGCCAGGTTATGACTCCGCCACAACCATTTTGTATACGGCGCCATATATGATAGGTACCTAGAATGAAGCTCGCCGTTGCGCGGTAATTTCATTGCAGATACAGTAGAACAGAATACTGCTAAGGAACTGGAGCTATTCTGAACAGAACTATTCCACTATTCCGATCAGATAAAGTGGTGCAGAAAGAGTAGATCAGATAGAATAGTGCAGATACAGTAGAACAGATGGAGTATTGCAGTGCATGCAGTGCAGATAAAATGAAACAGGGCTGCGCTGGAGATTTTTTTTGTTTTCTTTACATTTTTTGAACATTCCTGTGCCTGAGTTTATTTATTTGGCGGTACACTTTATAAGAATAATGCCCACAAGATGCCTAAAAAGGGATGATGTAAAATTTTAATATTAGGTGACTTCTGATCCAGAGAGTAAAAATTAATTTTCTTCGACCAAAGCCAAATTTACCATCGAAAAAAACTGAATTTAATTCAGTTAATAGATACGTTAACACAACATTTAATAGGTATTTAATAATTCAGAGGAGGTACGAAGTTCGCCGGGTCAGCTAGTATATACTATATTTGGAGTCAGAAGAAGAAAAACATCAATTATTCTGCCTGAAAATATACAGGGTGTTCCATTTCAAAAAATGATGCAGTGTTTGTCATGACATGATTATATGTGCAAAGGATAATAGAGGTAAAGTCCGACAAATACCATTTTAAAGTCACGTGATATTGGTGACAAAAAACATATGTTCACTGATTATGTCGTTGATATCACCTACAAAAAGCTACTGGTGGTTAATTACTATTGAATTTTAAGATATGTTCCCACTAGCATTTTACAAACGCGTTTCTGAAGTAGTATTGACCAATCAGATGGGAGATTTAATACTTGCAATTGACCTTTTCAATTTAAAAATCTCTCTCTCTGGCATCAAACTGTCAAACTGGCATTTTGTTGAGCATCAATTTACGCAACTTTGCCCCAATTTAACCAACTCTGTATCTCTCACCGTTTCCGAGATCCCAATGATGTGGCTCGAATTTGAAGCACCCCGTACAAATAGCTTAATGTGAATGCATTTTTAAATTTCCATAGCGTAGGAACAGCAGCTGACCCAAACATCTATATATATAAAACACAGTTGTGTTAGTATTTGAGCACTTATAACTCGAGAACGGCTGGACTGATTTTTATGATTTTTGCTTTATTGGATTTGTCTTTGTCCATCCTAGGATAATAAATCGAAAAAATCCAAAAAAAAAAAATTATCTATTTTACTTATTTATGAAAAAAACTCACTAAGCCCGCATACGGCGCCATCTCTTATAACCGATACCAAGTTTACCGTCATATTTTCATTGCAAACCATGTGGATTTTATTGTCACACACTTTGCACAAAAACAATTTGAGGAAAGCACTTTATTTTTAATTGTTGTTCACAGTAAAAATGTCCAAAAATAAATAGAATGACAATGTTTTAATTGTGTATTTTATTTTGTTGTTGGTTCGTTCATTCCGAAAGAGCGCGAACTGGTCTACCTGTCATTTCTTGACGCTTGACCATTGACGTTCTGTGGCTAAGTTCCGTTTCTCCTCTTAGGCATCCCTTGACAGCCGTGTTCCGTGCCGACTGTTCGGAGTGCTCCGTCCGGCTGGTGTCGAGTGGCAGAGAGCCAGGTTATGACTCCGCCACAACCATTTTGTATACGGCGCCATATATGATAGGTACCTAGAATGAAGCTCGCCGTTGCGCGGTAATTTCATTGCAGATACAGTAGAACAGAATACTGCTAAGGAACTGGAGCTATTCTGAACAGAACTATTCCACTATTCCGATCAGATAAAGTGGTGCAGAAAGAGTAGATCAGATAGAATAGTGCAGATACAGTAGAACAGATGGAGTATTGCAGTGCATGCAGTGCAGATAAAATGAAACAGGGCTGCGCTGGAGATTTTTTTTGTTTTCTTTACATTTTTTGAACATTCCTGTGCCTGAGTTTATTTATTTGGCGGTACACTTTATAAGAATAATGCCCACAAGATGCCTAAAAAGGGATGATGTAAAATTTTAATATTAGGTGACTTCTGATCCAGAGAGTAAAAATTAATTTTCTTCGACCAAAGCCAAATTTACCATCGAAAAAAACTGAATTTAATTCAGTTAATAGATACGTTAACACAACATTTAATAGGTATTTAATAATTCAGAGGAGGTACGAAGTTCGCCGGGTCAGCTAGTATATACTATATTTGGAGTCAGAAGAAGAAAAACATCAATTATTCTGCCTGAAAATATACAGGGTGTTCCATTTCAAAAAATGATGCAGTGTTTGTCATGACATGATTATATGTGCAAAGGATAATAGAGGTAAAGTCCGACAAATACCATTTTAAAGTCACGTGATATTGGTGACAAAAAACATATGTTCACTGATTATGTCGTTGATATCACCTACAAAAAGCTACTGGTGGTTAATTACTATTGAATTTTAAGATATGTTCCCACTAGCATTTTACAAACGCGTTTCTGAAGTAGTATTGACCAATCAGATGGGAGATTTAATACTTGCAATTGACCTTTTCAATTTAAAAATCTCTCTCTCTGGCATCAAACTGTCAAACGCCAAAAAAGTATGAAAACAATGGTTGACAGCCGTTGACAGTGGTTTGTAGACAAGACTTTTGAAAGAAACTATTATTTCTTCGGTGTTTTCAAGGTTTTTTCCTAACAATGGCGATTGTGTGTAGTGTGCCTATTCATAATAATTCCTATTCACTGGCAGACGTGTCTTTAAATCAGAAAGGATACCAGCAAAAGAAAGGGAAATTCACGGCCCATCAAGTATATAAACAAAGTAATCAACGTCCAAGTTTAGTTGGCAGAAGCTGTTTGCTTCCAAAATAATCCACCACCGTCTCCAAAGCGAAGTTCTGCGAATGAAGCAGTGACTTTTCCCATATTTTCTTTCCAATTTCAAACCCTGCGTTTTTATTCATATCAAATTTTACTGATGGATTCATCATTCTATGTCGGTCATTGTCATTTTCTATTCACTTAACAAAGATAGCTAACTCATCGGTGAAGTCACCGATTCGAATAAAAACGAGGGGATTGCCAACCACCCAATACACATTGACATTGACAAGCAAGCAAATGTTGGCGGGAAAATGAACGTTTTCATACTTATCGTCCATCTCTTTTAATTGAAAACGTCAATTGTTGCGAGACTCACTTTTGTCGTTTCTGCTACCCCTTGTGATACATTCTGAACTTGAATTGGGTACCCGTTTTCTATTTGCTTCTTTTCGAGTTGGAAAAAGGTTAATATAGTCTAAATTATTAGCTGTGTTTGTTCGTTGTATCATTTTCGAAAATAACTTTGACAAACTAATTGATGACAGTGACGGACTCTATTTCAGGTGGGAATTTTATGAACAATAATTAGACACCAATTTTTTTGTCAATTTTACTATCACCGCTGTTTGAGATGTATTCAACAAGGATAGAGAAAAATCACGTGACTTTAAAATGGTATTTGTTGGACTTTATAACCCCACAACTTTGTGTTTAACAATTTTTTTTGTTTGAGTTGTAGAAGTCGCACTAATTATAAGGAATATACCCTGTACAGGGTGGGCCAATTTGGACACGTTCTTCTGGAAACACCCTTTCTTTTTAGAGATAGAGAAAAATGAACCGCCCCCCCCCCCTCTGAGGCTCAAATTTCATAAAATTTTGATTGGTGTAAACCGCATTTTGATATCTTCTTCCGTTTAGCCGAGAGGGCGATACTCGATTTTGAGCAATCTTGTAAAACCTTAATAACTTTTTTGTTTATGAAATTGATTTCCGTAAAAACTTTCTGGAAGCACTTTTTCAAGCAGAATTCAGTGACGTTCTTAGTTTTTTTTCTATTTGGCGCCGATTTTGAGATATTGACCAAAGACTGATTTTTTTTCAATAGGACATCCTTTATATTAATAGCTCATTGAAAAGGTATGATTTTTCTGATTTTATTGATATAAAGTTCGATAGGTTTATCTCTAACCGTTTTCGAGAAAAAAAATTATTCCGGTTTTTCTCATAAGAAGCAATGTGTTAGAAAAGGATTTTATATCTGTAAGGAAAATGAAAAAGGTCTCTTTCTAACATATTGTTTCTTATGACAAAAACCAAAATATTTTTTTTCTCAAAAACTATTCGAGATAAACCTATCGAACTTTATATCAGTAAAATCAGAAAAATCATAGCTTTTGAATGAGCTAATATTATAAAAGGGTGTCTTATTGAAAAAAATCAGACTTTGGTCAATATCTCAAAATCGGCGCCAAATAGAAAAAAACTGAGAACGTCACTGAATTCTGCTTGGAAAAGTGCTTCCAGAAAGTTTTTACGGAAATCAATTATTTTGATAAACAAAAAAGTTATGAAGGATTTAAAATATTGCTCAAAATCGAGAATCGCCCTCTAGCGGCTAAACGGTTGAAAATATCAAAATGCGGTTTGCCCCAATCCAAATTTCATGAAATTTGAGCCTCAGAGCGGGGGGTTCATTTTTTTCTATCTCTAAAAATAAAGGGTGTTTCCATAAGAAAGTGTCCAAATTGGCCCACCCTGTACATAGATCGATTTATTGCCCAGTGGGACTATAGACAGAAAACTGGTTGTTGGCGATTTGCACCAATCAAAAACGCTCTGACTGGTTTGTGATTTCTGTGAGAACAGACCTCTATTATCGAAACATGGAATTTTAAATAAAACCAACTACAAAACAATGTAGGCTACATATATTCGTTACCCGTAGCATTGAAATTTTCAAGACCAACGAATTCTCCATATCTTTGTTTTACATAAAAAAATCGATTGAAAACAATTTTAAAACGGCATTATCTGTGAATCACCCTTAAGATGACAAGAACCTAGCAACAAACAAGTCAATAAGCATTGCCGCTCCCTAGCAACCCTTGTAAAATACAAACACTGGCAAAACTTACCCTAAGGTTACAGAACAGTTAACGTCACTGTGAAAAAGAGACTTTGAAATCTATATTTGCAATTTACAAGATTTATTTATTTTTCATGTGGTTCTATTAGCTCCACTAAGTATTCATTGTCGAAAAAAATTGTTTGCAGCTTGCGTTTAGTACAAAACATCTTACAAAAATGTCTACGTTACCGGAGGATATGTATTGTTCTGAGCAAATATGCATTCCGCCCTCGTTTCCTTATTTATTGAGGCAATATGCTAAAGCAGCTATCAGGACGCAGCCCACTGATATTTTGAGGTATGAAATCTGTAGCCCAACATCAACTTTGTCTAAAAGTAGAATTATTTCCAGATGGTCAACTGCGTATTTTCGTTGCCTGTCCCTAAACTTACCACCCCCAGTCAAACCAAGACTTGAATACCCAATTCCGCGTGATTTCAGAGGCGTTACACCTGGATGGTTGAAGGCACTTTATTATCAGCTACAAAATAATCAAACTATTTCGTTCAAGGTAAGAAAATTTAAGGTGGAGAAAATTGATTAGAGTATTATGCATACGTATTTTGTTTCGTACTTCCTTTGTTGAATAAGGACAATAGGATGTCGTTTAAATGGACAATTATTTATTTAAGATTTAAATTCTGGCGTCGGAAATATAATTTGATAGATCATTATATCGGAATTTCTGATAAAAGTGTTTGGAAAAAATGGTATATTTTATACCTAGTAGAAAAAGTTGAACATTTCCGGACGACCGAATTGATTGCCTATCGAGGTGCGTATCCTGTCCTGTTATTTTAATAGTTGTGTTATAACTCAAAATCTATACCTGTCTCTATTTTTACGTGTAGAATAAACAGTGACAAATAACTTAATATTGCTGTTAAAATAACAGAAACGGATACATCATAAGTCTGAATATCAGTTGAATTAATCTTTAATATTAATATATTTTCATAAAAACAGTGTTATATCTTTAAAAATACTGTTAAATAAGCCTATACAGGGTGTTCCACGGTGGATGGCGTATTAGACGTTTATGGAGAACTAAAAAGCGGATCATTTTGAAAATTTGGCAACCGGGATAAACGACCATGATCTACACCTTGAAAATATTTTTGACCATGCGGTGTTCATGCCGTTTCTACTCTAAACTACACCATTTCCACTTTTAGTTCAAAATAGATAAAGTTGATTTCAAAAAGCATCAAATGTATTTCAAAATAACAACTTTAATTTAAAAAAATATCAAATGTATTTCAAAATCATCAATTGAATATCAAAAAGCATCAATTTGATTTCAATCTTTATGAATTTTATTTCAAAATATATCAAATGTATTTCAAAATAACCAAATTTATTTCGAAATACATCAAATGTATTTCAAATTAGTGAAATGTATTCCAAAAATGGTCAGTTTTATTTCAAAGATTATCAATTCGGTTAAAAAATAAAGTAGGTATGTGTTTATATCGTACAGTTAAAAATCAAATTAAAACCAGACACCCTGTACCTCCCTTACAGTTTTTGATGATATAAGAAATGATGATTTTGAAATACATCCGATTTTTTTGGAAGTATAAATGGTATAGTTTGAAATACATTTGATTAATTTGAAATACAAATGACACATTTGGAAATAGAAGTGACAAATTGGAAATTAAAATATCAATTTTTGAAATAAAAGTGATTATTTTGAAATACATTTGACCGATTTTGTCGGTGGCAACATCGCTATTTTAAATGGAACACCCTGTATGTGACTGCATCGATTTTCATTGGACGCTCACCTGCAACCCACGAGTTGCGCGCGCACACCAGGTATTACGAGACACGTCAATTATCAAATAATGATACATGACATTTCGATTTTGACACATAAAAATATCAGATTCGGGTTTTTGAATTTTGAATTTCGAATTTCTGTGTGAAATCGGTTCAGATTTTTGTCGTTCTCTGCATTATTGTTTGATTTGTTACATTCACAATCGGTTTTTTGGTTTTTTGTGAAGTGTTCTGTGCCTTTGTGTTTCGGTGTTGCGTTTCAAACCTGGTTTTAGTTTGGACTCAAGTGTTTACTCTTTTTATAAGTGTTTACTTTGGACTCTAATTTTTGTATTTTTGGATTTCAGTTACTTAACTTCCTTTAAAGAAATTGAAAATAAATTTTTATTCTGAAATGTATATCACTTTTCTAAATACGACCCTGTCGTTTATCACTGCTGACGCAACCAAAGCGCTAACGCATGCTGGCAACCTGAAGAAAAAGTTACTAGAAATGTCAACGCGAACTGTCAACTTCACTTTCTATCGCGATTTCAACTATACTCGTAAAATTTGCGCCCTTGCCGGATAACAGGCATAAGGCCAACTAAAAAAAACAGGTTCAAATCGTATATAACCGCCGACGGATAGTATGAACCAGCCTTGTGACGATTCAACGTCTGAATTGTAACATTGGGCCAACGCTAGGTATGCTTTCTCGAATTTCATGGTCCTTTACATTATTTTGTATATTTGATGGATTTCCATTACAGGGACATAATTTACGATATTATGGCAAGCCGTTTTACTTTTAAATGGTGTTAAAAATATTTACTAGAAAAATAATTCTTGCAAAAATTAATTGGTTCAAAAAATAAAAGATTGGAAAATAATTCTTGTATTAAAATTAGGGATGCTGCTCTTTGCCGCAGCCCTACAGCGCCGAATTAAAATTATGCTTCAACATAATTTTAATTCCATTAGTTTCTATTATGTCAAACCATAATTTTAATCCAATGCAATTTTTATTTGAGAATTAAAATTTGGTCGAAACATAATATTAATTGCAGAAAAAAAATGTGCACATTTGAAATTATGCTTTTACACAATTATAATTCTCGAATAAAAATGTGCGCAATTAAAATTATGCTTCGACATAATTTTAATTCTCTAATAAAAATTGCATTGAATTAAAATTATGGTTTGACATTATTTTAATTCTGCACATTTTTCTTCTACAATTGGGCAATCCAACGATGTGTCAAATATGGCCGATTGTTGGCACACATATGCCCATAACCCTAAATTTCTTGTGTCATCAGTCATCGTCTCTTGCGTTTACCTTCGACGTTGGGAATTTTGAAATAATTAATTCCAGCTTTTTACAAATTTCCTTTCAAAATATTTCTAAATTATTGTGAGTGTGCTTTTTTTTAGGTCTCAAAACTCACAAAATTAAGCAATAAGCAGCAAAATACATAATCAACACAGAAAACGACCCACCGTGAATTCGGTATTTTGATCAGAGCTCTCCGAGCTTGAATTTACCGTTCGTTTACTCAAAAAGTGTACTCGGCGCAAGCTCATTTGCATTCGTTTATTAAAATTTCGGGCACTCGGATACTGCGTGCAACTGGTCTGTTCGCTCGATGGTCACGTGGTTACGGCTTTGCTCAGCACGCTCTGCTCTTTGAGCAAAATACAGAACGCAAGGACAATATCAAACCAACAAAAAAAGTCACGTGGTTTGGATTGCCTAATTAAAATTATGCTTCGACATAATTTTAATTGGGCGCTGGGGTAGCGTGGTTGTCTTCGACACTAGCGGCTGCAGTAGGGTTCGGGTTCGGTTCGGATAGTTGGGGCTCTAAAATCTGTTTTTTTTTTAAAGATAAAAGTCAAAATGACATTATGTTGGCAATACAAGGTCGGGTTCATCAGGGCGTAGCGCTAAAATAGCGATCATCAGCAGTGTTGCCAAATAATTACAAATGTGGCAAATTTTATCCTTGTTCTTCTCACGAAAAGGAAAAAAAGATGAAAAATGGTCCGAGCGCTCAGTGTTTCAAGCGGAACTCATTAATTTCAATAATTTTTGATTAAATAAGTGAAAATATAATAGATTTATTGGAAATGTAATAATGTAAATAATTAACCTTTTGATAAATGTATTAGATTTGCTACATTTGTAATAAACTGGCAACACTGTTGATGATCGCTACTGTAGCGCTATGTCCTGGAGTGCGTTCAAAGACGGCAATGCTAATGCCAAAACCTACTATTCCCCTTCTACCGGCGATGCCAAATCTAGTGTGAATTTGCTGGAACGCCAAATACCGTTTCTCAATATGCAATCCAAACCACGTGACATTCAATATGGCGTGGCGACCATACATGGACCAAAAAACACAAAAAATATCTAGTTTCTGCCCGACTTAATAGTTAACATAGTTAGTTAACAAATATTTTATTGAATAATCAAAATAGAAGCTGCAAACAAACAAAATAATTGAAATATGCATGAAAACCCATATTCAAAACTAACTTGCCTGGCCGCCACGCCATATTGAATTTGGTCTCATCCAATCAAAATTCGTATAACCATTTCTAGACTCAGTTGAAAGAGCCTCCAAAAGTTACTTTACCGCGGCCGATTTGGAACGTGTAAAGCCAACCGTTTTTGGCACGCTGGAGCCGAACTTGAACGCAATATGCCAATTTTGGCTCGGCTATAGCCGTTTTTGAACGCAGCCCTGATGAACCCGACCAATGAAAAATTGTCAATGCTTTCGATTTTTTTATGCATAGAAAAGGCTTGTGTTGCCAACATAGTTACTAAATTTTTGACTTGGGGAATTATCTTTAAATAAAAAACAGACTTTATGAGTTGGGGATGACTGTTCTAAGCTCCAAATGTCTGAGTGCAACCTGCAACACTCAACACTATCGATTAGTCCAGACTTCCGATGCGTTCAGGTTTTGTCTTGAGCTGATGATTAAGACATTCGAGTTTGAATGTTTTAAACCTTTCTAGAACCGTCCTTTTTTCAAATCCGAACAGGCCCATCTGAGAGGTCATAGTTTACCTTCTATTTCACCTATTCGCGGTTTTCCTTTTTTGTTTATAGGCGTTCCAGTGCTTCAGAGTTTCACGCAACTGAACTGTTCGTTTTTCCTTTCCCCTGCCCTCTCAAGAACCTATCCATGGTTTGTTATTTTGATCTGAGTTCTACGAGCTTGAATTCACCGTTCGTTTATTTAAAAAGTGTACTCGGTGCAGGCGTTTGTTTATTTAAAATTTCGGGCACTCGAATACAGCGTTCAACTGCTCTGTTCCCTCGCTGGTCACGGGATTATACGGTTCCGCTCAGCACGCTCTGCTCCTTGAGCGAAATACCGAATGCAAGGTATGTAATGCTCACGACTGTACCATCGTCACCAAAAGTATCTGGGACACAATTAATGCATAATAATCTCTAATTCTACTGTCATTCATTTCAATGCATTTAATTCATAGTTTGACAAATATTTGACATAAAATTCATATAATAGGACAAGAGCTAATGTGATGCTGTCCCAGTTACTTTTGATGACGATGGTACATTTTTATGGGTGCAACACAACGCTGAAAGTAGGGTGCGTTCCAGTGAAACAACAGTTGTTTGGAGCATCAGAGTGTGAAGCTACGGGTGTGGAGCACCTTAAAAATTCGTCACTGGAAAGCGGCTCTGTACTCGGTACTGCTTT